AGAATGTATTCAAGAAATATATCTTTATATTTTTATAATTTATTTATGCTTTCCTATTTTTTATAATTTTATAGATAAATGCAGCAGTTTTGACATATTGTATACGTTTATCACATAATTACCACTGTCATAAAATGATGCTTCGGATATTTCTTCATCAATCATATTTCATGCAATCGCTTTGATTTGGATTTATTGACTTTATTGTTAGCGTAAGTGGATTTTTTTTAGATAAATTCTAATTATCTCTTATTCTGGAGTGTTGATACTAATAATTTTGCGATAATAAAAATTTGTACGTGTTTTTATATCTGAACTATTTTTTTCAAATCTTTTTAATCTTTTCATTAACTTTTTTTTGACATCTGTTTGAATCTTCAGATGCAGGATGCATTCAAACAAATAGATTCTGAGAGTGATTCGGATGACTCTAACTTGGATTATGGTTCCATAAGAGAGGCGGAAACATTGGATGTTAAATCTAACAAGGACAACGAAAATGATGATGATGATGACGAAAATGATGATAATGACGAAAATGATGATAATGATGAAAATGATGATAATGACAAAAATGATACAATTCAAAAGTAAAGTACAATCAATAAAATAAGTCTATATAGACTGCGTTCCATTTAACGCTTGTGGAATCATTTTATTCTCGTTGTTTAGCAAATGTTAAATAAAAATAAACGACGCTTGCGAGCGTTCAGTGGAACACAGCCATAGTAAAGTATAAAATATGTTTAACTCGTATAATACTGAGAATAGGAAGACAAGTTGAATTTGAAAGATTAATCAATCGATACAATTAGTCTATTAATTTGAAATATATTGCAATCTTTGCATTATTATTAATTATTTGATCTTCTATTTTTTTCTGCACAGCAAGGTAAACAAGAATGTAAATATCAATATCTCCAATGATCAAAATCATCATAGTGTTAAACACCATCGCCATAGGCAAGGTACGACGGAAAATATTATGACAGCCACAGGACAGTCGATATTGGAAGAAATAGCCAAGGAAGAAATATCAATGAATTGTGCGAGCGGTAGAAAGAAGAACCAGAGGTACTCAAGTAGCTTCTTCAATACAACAGATCATTCGATAACCGTAGAAAAGGAGTTTAACGATGTGGTTGGCAACAATTCCAAGGTGAAAAAATCTAGCAGTGTTCACGAGGGCGAGGACATCACTCTGTGCTGGATCGAAACGATAACTATCAAGGAGGATAAGACCATTCGACCGCCGAAGAGATTGGTTATTCGTGAGTACACAATCTCTTTTGAGAACTCAGCAACCATACCGGAAAGATATCTCGAATGTAGAAGGTTCGAGGGTGAATTGACGGCGAACGATCCCGACATTGGTAAGACGGCCTTATTTGAAGTCATAGACGAAGACACGATGGTCAGCAGGATCGTTAATTTTACCTCGGTCAGTCATATGGGTAATGTTATCACTTGGGAACATAAAAAAGTGAAATGCGGAGTTGGTCCGGTGGTTAGTAAAAATATTGTAGAATTGACCGACAGTTCAAAGATTCCGAAGAAGAGAGTGGAGATTAAAGTTAGTCCCAAAATGCATCAACTGACGGCAACGACAACTGAAGAAGAGTGTACAGAAAGTAGTACACTCACTGAATCTATGACTGAATACACTACTGGATTACCCTGTAAAAATGGCGCTTGTGAAACAACCATGATTTTCCCTAGCATTGTATCAAAAATTGATAAATTCACCACTAAAGAAATAGACACCAAGTTGCAGAGCGAATCCACAAGCGAGAGCATCGAAGATCGTTTATCTACAACTACGAAATTATTACCTGATGAAATAGTATCTAAAAGAACAACGACATTTCCTAAAAAACCGACTACAATTCAGGAGAAGATAGACTGCGAAGAGAATCCATCACATCCAGCGTGTTTAACGCGAAAATATGATACATCTTCGGAAGAATTAGTTATTGAAGTATTAACTACGACGGAAGCAGCTACGATAGCCAAAACATCACCGATTAGTGAAGAAATAATTCCAGAAGAGGAGGTATTTCATCCTCCTATTGGGGAGAAATCAGAAGAGACTACGGAATCTTTATCTACATCAAAAAAAGAGGAAGAAATAATTTATGCAGTAGTAACTGAAAAGTCAACTCCGTTTGCATTCACTAAAGATATTTTCACAAAATCTTCGGAAGCATATGCGTTTCAATCAACAGCATCTGTTGATAGCTCATTGGAAACAAAGATTACTGAAAGCTCTAGTACGGAAGAAATAGAAGAATACTCGAAGCCCGAAGAAGACAGAGATAAAAGTTTTACTACACTGACAAGCGAAGAATTAGGAAAAGATGACTATATTTCATCTTCAAGTGAGAGCATGGTGACTTCAAGTGAAGTTGGTATCGAGCCAGGCGTTACAAGCGCGAAATCACCAGAATTGATCGAATTCACGAAAGAACCCACTAAACCTGAGATTTTTGATAAGTTATCTAATAAGCCAATTTCGACAAAAAGTGTAACAGGAACTGTAACTATGGAGTCATCATTAACGCCCAAAGAAGTGACCTCTGAGGAAACCAAAGAAAAGACTGTAACTGAAGATTGGTTGCCCACGACGATAGGTGGGTTAAAGACTAGTAAGGGAAGAGAATTTATTTCTACAATTACAACGACGTTGCCAACGAAAGTCAGATCAACGACTTTGTCACCAGTGACAAGCGAGATAAGTTATTCATGCGAGGACTCTGAAGATTGCGTCAGTTTGGAAGGCTGCGAGTTCGGAAATTGTGAGAAACCAAAATTGACAAAAGTTCCTCCAACCGAGGAATCAAAAATAATTGAGCACTTGGCTGTCACAAATGTAGTAACGACCATGTTAGTCCCTTCAGAAGATGACAGCAAGTCGATGGCTAAACCTATCACGATGGACACCCGAAGAAGCACGACTACAAGTACGCCGCAACATAAGTTGTCATTGAAGGTCAAGATCCTCCTGGAGCACATTAATGAGAACAAGGAGAAACACAACTTGGTCGAGGTGGAGAAACACTTATCGCTGGACGAGAATCCAGAACATCATCTTAATCCTGATTTACTCGAGCAATTGAAATTCTTGAACGATTCCGTCAATATGGAGACCATAAGCGCATTGTTGAATTGTACTAGCTTGGGAAATTTGACAAAAAATTCAAATTTTGTCAGCGAAAAACCAGATAATGTTGACAGAGATAATGCAGAATTGGAATTTACGAATACTGATTTCGAGAATTTGAGCTCAGAACAGTTTACTTCAGAATCCGATGATGCTAAAATTGATTACTCTGAATATCAAGAACACGTAACATCTCGCAGACGAAGAAGTCTTGATAATAAAATGGAAGGTCTAAATAAATTTGTTCGACAAAATCTTTATGATTCCACTGATTCTGCGATTGATGCTTTCAATATTTCACAAACTCAGCATACTGAGTTAACAAACACAACTTACAACTTACAACAACTTTCCACAAATTACTCCGAAGAGGAAACAATTACTAACAATTATACAGAAAGTGAAAGAAACGTAACTAAAGAAGAAAATCAAAGTACAATAATAATCCTTAGCGATATTGATCTTTCAAACGCTTCGGAATCTCGTGATATTAATATCACAAAAGATGTACAGTTAAACACGACACCATATAAATCTAAAGAGGAAGCAAATAACACTATGTATATAGAAACGAATACAACTAATGACACAAATATGACTAATGAAAAAAATGAAAGCACAGTGCCTTCGAGGAACAACATGAGTAACGATACAAAAATGGAAATTGTGCGAAAGACATTACCAGGAATACAGAAAGATGTTGTGGTCGGGTTGCAGCATATAATATCGCAATTAACGCGAAATAATTTGACTTTAACCAATAATGAAGCCGTCAAAACAAATTTGTTGATTATTTTAGCGAACCCCAGTGATAGCAGGGTTCGATTGAGAAGAAAAAGAGCCACGGAAGAAGTTGGACACTGGTCAAATGAAAGGATCAAGAAGGCGCCAATAGGTGGCAATCTTAGAAGTTTCACTGAATTCACACTGTACAAAGTTCTATCTTGAGATGTATAAGATTAAATTTTATTTTGTCATTTTGTAATGTTAAAAGATTTCAATGAAGCTGAAATAAGAAATTACGTTGTATGTATAAGCCTTATTGTACATTATAATTTAATCAAATGTGTAAATGTATGTTATAAAAAAACTTTACAATACATATTAAATTGTCTTTTAAAATATGACAGATGACAGTTTGTTAGTGCTTTTTATTTATATAAATGTATACAAATTTCCAGATAAATATAATACATTTAAAAAAGGAATGAAATTATAAAAGAAATATAATTATTTCGTAAAATAAAAATTTATCCGTATATTAGTAATTTTTACATATTATTTTTGCGACACTGAATTAATATGTTTGATTTTCATGGGTAGGAAAAGCTAGTATTTATGACGTTTAATCTTCTTTAAAGTAGTAAACGCGTGATTATCGTATGAATGATTATAGCTTGCATTCATAACGTTCGAAAATAATTAATCGTGAATAGCGGTTTGCATTGGCAATCGTAATTGTATTGACTGAACTGCGTCTGTAATGGATCGTGCTAACGAGAAATTGTTACGTACTTTTATTGTTTCCATTAAGTTGAAAATAATGTGTTGGGTAATAAAATGGCTATTAAATGCGCGGTATTCGCAGACCGCTTTATTATTTTTCTATCAGCCTATAACACATGTTGAAAATTTGTTTATGATTTATAATGATAGATAATTACATTTGCGCCTTTTTCTCTTTTAATCTTTCCGTTTATTAAATGTTATTAGTTGATACAGTAGTTTTTATATATTTGACACAGTTTCGTTTATCATACTGAATTATTTATTTATCAACGAACATGTATCTATTATAATCAGAAAGAATATTACTTTTAGCAAATATGTATTTTTATGTTGATAAACAATTTAATAATTGTTAATATTTTTTTACATTAAGATACACGATGATTTTGTAGAAGTACATTAGCATCTTATAGACTGAAAACATATGCAGTATGATTGTAATGTTCTATTATCCTTATGTCCCTGAACATGTGAATGTCAGCGGCGATACACATTTTTCTGATGTTGGATTGAATATCAGCGTATTCGGGCACGAGAGATTATCCATTATGGTGTAACTGGTGCCGTTCCAGTAGCACAAATAATAACTCTTACAGTTCACGTCCTGTTTCGGGAATCTGCCATATCTAACACAGAGTGGTGCTGAGGTGGTTGTCGATGATGTTGTTGTCGTCATTTGTTGGCACGTAAATGTGCTTTCATTCACGCATCTACCCTGGGCAGGATTATATATAAAAGTATTGTCGCAAGAAAATATCACTGGGATGAGATTCACACCGTTATCCACACAAATATAGAAATGTCTGCAAGTTCCATCGATAATCTCGAAAGAACCTATCTCCGTGCAACGTGTGATGATTTGATTTTCAGCGATTTTGAAAGTAGTGTAAAGGCACAAAAGAACGATGATCGAGAAACGATTCATTGTTGCGTGCGAGCAAAGATTTGGCCGACGTGTGAATGTTGTATTCATTTATAGCAAAGAAATTTATGATTTGTGTCAATCATACGTTTATCAGGGATTTTAGAATGTAAAGCAAGATAAAATGAAGATAGTTCTCTTTGACCTTGCCGTAAATTCACATTTTCTGCCTCGAGATTTCTAATCCCTGATCTTAATTTTATCGATGATAATATTGTTGCGTAAATTTAATTTTTCAATTTCTATTTTTGAATGTATTTGTCAATTTTTGGATTCAAGGAGTTAATTTATCGGCGCTATTAGGTATATTACGTAATTATCGAGAGTTAACGCGATGCACATTTAATTAAAATAATATATACGTATTTCTTTCGACGACGTTTGAAGTCAAGACGGCATCTGTGCATCCCCGACGATTCCTTCCAGGTGAAATGTCGGACGCGATTCAGAATGCGTGTTTTTTTAACGCGACGGTCTTACGACGAGGAAATCGAGGGTGAAGTCTACGGAATACAAAATCGCCAGAAAGCGACGAGAAAGTTGCAACTGGATTTAATGTCCGCACGTAATATTCTGCTTGTTCGTGCGTGCTAGCATTATGCATCAATTATGCATGCACATCTTGTATCTATATATTGAAATAGATTTTTCATGTTTTACTGATATTGAACACAAACATTTATTTTCTATCTCGCCACATTATATTAAAAATTTATTTCTTATTATGATAAAATTATGATAAAATGTTTAAGCTTTTTATACGTTAGATTTTATACGTAGATTTTAATAAACTTTGATGTACAATATTGTTATAATAATAGTAATAATTTAATAATTTGTAAGATAGAATATATGGCATTGCATTGAATAGAATACAAAATATTATGTGAAACGAAGACATCAGCTACATCACACAGATGAATTAGACCTGCATTAAAGACATTCCATAAAGATACTTCACAGATTTTCTTTTGAAATTCCAGCTTGCTACCCTTGAGTTCAGGTAACCTTTCCCGATGCCCATTATATGTAGCAGGATCAGAGGCAAGAAATTTTTTCAAATAAGATTTTTTTGAATAGATACGAAACCTCTCCGTCTAATCCATGCATTCAACTGCAGGCTCAAAGAGAGAGATCGGCTGAATATACACGGAGGAATCCTTGTTTCGGAGCGAGGGAAAGGTGCTATAGAAAGGAGAGAGAGATGTCAGGAAAGAAGGAGAAGCGTAAATGTATATAAGTGACTTGGGTTGAAGACGCTCCAATGGACTCTCTCTTTGACCCTGGTCAAGTGCGCATCTTTCCTCCCATCTCTTTCTTTTTTCCCATCCCCCTTCCCATACATAGTCGTGTTGTTTCGATCCTGCGTCCTTCCACTTCAACCTTCACCTTCACGCGGCGAGGAAGAGAACAGTGTTCTTGCGCCCGTTTAATCGTATTACGCGCTGTGACGATGACACAAGGCTGAGAGCTAGCAGGAATTTAATTTGCTCTAGAAAAAAATTTAAGACGAGTGTGATATTGGTTCCGCGTGCATGTGACATGTTCCTGGCGGAGAGATCCTGACTGCAGGAGAGATGGATGCTCGAAGAGTGAGTAACATTGATGAGAAAAGACCGAAAGAATCGTTGGAACGAAGCCACCGAGTACCTACTGTAATTGTGGAACTATTATTGCCGTAGAAGAAATTTTACCTTTTGAAATTGGAGATTCTAGAATTTGATTGATGTTGCATGGTATCAAATGGTATCATCATCAATTATCAAATTATTACCAGACTATTATTATTAATTATTTGTTTAAAATAATAAATAATAAATAAAAAAAGTTAAATTAGATTAAATATCAGCCGAAAACAATAATACATGACAAAACAAGCTAGATTTTAATTCTACAACATTACATATCTGATATATAAAAAGTATTTAACAGCAAAGATAGCAATTTTTCTTTATATATATTATATACAGATATTAATTATAAAGTAATTATATAAAGATAGTCATAGAAACTTTTCGATGATGTATTTTTCTATACATATCCAGATAGCACAGGAAGTTCAAAAAGAATTCAAAAAGAATTTAGTTATCAATGTTATCAATTCTGAGCTCATTTTCAGATGCAACCAAGAATTCTATTCAAAAAACTTTTCAGAAAAAGAATTTTTTTTGCATCTGAAAATGAATTCAGAATTGATGACATATCACTGAATTCTTTTTGAATTCTTTGTGCTATATATTTTAATTTTATTATACTAATTTTATTATAAAGTATCAATGTCAACACAGAAAATTCGTTATCAAAAAGCAATTCTTCATTATCTTCATCGCGTGCTATAGTTTCCGGCTGAAAAAAAATGCAAAGGCTGCTGTTGCGTTTGATCGTTCCAGTGAATTTAATGATGGATCATTTTAATGCGCTATAATTCTCTTTACTCGCAGTATCGATAACGAGGCGAATCGTATGGACTATGCGATTATGATATACCGAGAAACGTGTGAGAGCCTTGACTACATAGAAAATATGTACATCGCTTTCAAGTCTAATCTATATTACATGGATAATAATAAATGCGTGAGAGCTATTCGCATTAATACCAAACATTGTTTTGCCAACAATTAAGTGACTTTGTAATTTGTACTTTTGTAAAAAAGTATGAGAAATAACAGATTACAAATTTTTTCAAAAAAAAAAAGGGATTACATATTTTTTCAAATATAGTTGCATTTCTCTTGTACAAATTATTTTGTCGTTAGAAAGTTGTGCGCATGTATATATATATTGTATATATATTAATATTTTCTTATCATTTTATCAGTCTATTTTTGGCAATTATGTATTTTGTACTTTTATATCCTCAAAGTTAATTTATTGAAAATAGAAGGAAGCCTTTCCCTAATTATCATTAGTCAAAATTAATAGTTAAATTTTAGTTCCAAAACCATAATTTCTTTGAAAAATTGTTTTGGTTCGTGTAAATCGTCTCACAGTCACGTTCTTTAATTAGCTAGGAGAGCAGGTTGAAGCTGTATGTTAATAATGCACTGCTCGCGTTGTATCTCAAGAGTCACGGTTGATTTATGCACATCGTGAATTGACGATAGCGCACGTCAGGACGACGAATAAATGACGAGGACGTAAGCCACTTTCGAGGAGGACGATCAGACCGTTCGGTACATCGCCAGTCAAAGAGGGAAACTCTTTCGACCGACCTAAATTTATCGCTTTCCGTTTGCACGTGTTTTACGTAGTCCTGATTTCCAAAAAGAATCATAGAATAATACAAAAGCACAGATGTTTCTTAATTATTGCTCTTTTGTTATAATTACCAAGATTATTATACGAAGTATCTTGGAATTACAAAAAGAAAATATTCTGCATCAGCTATGTCATTTAACTAGTGAAATTTAGTGCCGGCCTCTATTATAAACATAGAGTGCTAATAATTTTTGAATTGTTACTTTTATTATTGAATTACAAAGCATAAAAATGGATAGTAAAATAATTAATTTAAATAAAATAGATATTACTTTAATTTGTTTAAAGAAAAAAAACATAAGAGGAATATTAAAATTTAATAAAGTTATTACCAAAAATAATAGGCTTTTCCCTCTCAACGGTTTTATTAAGGAAAAAGCTATCTTTATATTCATTTTCTTATTAGAATATTTTCTATAATCATTGTGTTGAGTCTCAAAATCTGAGTCTCAATATTCCATAGTATTGACATAATGATATTCTTCCACTATTTCAATTTCAGATAAAATCTGTTCAAGTTTTATCTGCAAATATGCATAGCTGATAACGGATGAAATATGAGAAATTCTTAGAAGAAACAAAAAGAAAAGTTACTTTCCATTTACACACTTTATCAGTTCAGCTTCAATACTGGATCTTAACGAGCGATATCCATTATCCATACAAATATGAAGCTTTTTTACTCGAAGTGTCTGATATTTTATGGGTCTAATGTTCTGATATTTTAGTATCTTGTTTGGGCAAATATGCAAGGCGCTCCCATATTTGTCATATTCGAATAAAAAATAAAAATATTGAATACCAACGTAATTTATGTTGCAACATCACTTTATAGATAATTAGAACAGTGAAAGTTAGAAGTGCAAGTAAAGTTATTATAGAAGCACTAATTGTTTGCATTAACACAAAACAAAGATAGATCTTTTTTCATTTGTTAAGAATTCATTGATAAGTTGTCAATATATATATATATATATATATATATATATATATATATATAATAGCATATTTAATATAAATGTACTTCCTTTTCTTGCGAGATATTTCTAAATATAATTATTGTACATTTTGTAGAGGACTTTTGCATATGTTTCCTTCCGCTTAATACATATTACCGTAAATAACTTTATATTTAGATTTTAAAATTTTTTAATCACAGAAGCTTACTAAGAACGAATTGACAGTACTTCCTCTGTTATTTTCTAAATGAGACGATAATTTGCGGTATAAGTTCCTTTTGCTTTTCGAAATCAAATTAAGCGCAATAAAACGTCAAGCATTATGATTTCCTACTTTAAGAAATCCATATGAGGGGGCACGACAAATGCTTTACGTCGTATTTTCCTTACATCGAACTGGAGCAGCTCGCGATATAAATACGACAGTTACAACTCTCTCTGTCTTGACGCTCCTGTAATTGTCTCCTGCGCCGCTGAAGCACCGTTAGGGCTCATCTTTTCTTGAGAAGATCATCTCCCGATTTTCACTCTGCTATTCCCACGGGAATTTAGACCTGCCTTAGAAAGTGACAGGATAATACCATGCTCTTTTAATAATTTTGCGCAGCATATACGTACCTTTTTATGTAATTATTAAATATATAATTTTATTAATTGAAATTAATTAGTACATTGTTTTCCGCGCGCTTATCTTTTGACAGCCTATTTTTAAAAATGACTTTTGATTGTTAATTAAAAAAAAAATTAATTTTTACTTATTTGTACCTTTTATAAAATTTTTATTAAAATTGACATTTTCTAAATGCATTTCGTATACACCGAAGAAGAGATCGGAAAACATTATCACACACATTTTTGCAAAATGATGTAATTATGAGTTTTTATTTTGTGTAACCAAAGAGAGCAGCAGCCTTTACTGAATAACATCGAAAGTTTCGCCAGCAAATATCGATCTCGTTGATGGGTCTCGATTTCACAAAGATATCTACTAGAATTTCTCATACGTGATGATCGTTTCATTTCGGGCGACGTTATCCCATAATGAGAGCGCAGCCTCATTATCGGCAGCGGTTCGTCTCGATTAGCGCTGACATTTATTTTCTGACACATGTACGTATGAGACACTCACATACTCGCGTATGTACACACTGTCGAGATTACACGTGCACGACCTCGCGCATTACATCTTCTCTCGCTGTACATTTCAGTTCGTCGTAATACCCACAGCCCACTTACCTACATTACTCGCTTTATGTGTGCGTGGATCTTCACATCTTTGCCGACGAGTTTCTATACGTGCATCATGTGTATGGGCGCAGTGGCGTAATCAATTTTAATAATTGAACGTTTTAATAATTAATTTCTTCGGCAGCGTGGGATGTTCTTAATGAGAAAGCACGCGGATGACTTCCGTGCGGCTGCATCGCCGTTTTCGGGCAAACGGTTATTAGAATTTGCGGTATCCGCCTTATGTTATTAGCAAATACACTGTTGTTACGCGTCAATAATTTGTATAGCTTTTAGCGAACGCTCGTTCATCGAAACAAACGGTTATTATATTCATTAGGGACAAATTGTCTCTCCGCAAATTTAAATTAAAATACTTACAAAATATAGATGTATAGGATACATTTATGCATTATATAATTATCTTAACTTTGTACATTTATTGTATTTTTATTATATTTATATTATATTGCATTTATATATATATATATATTAGACTTATATTTATGTTATATTGCATCTTTTTTAACTTTTGGTTTATAAATTTTATCGATTCTGCTTACGATTGCTCGAACAGTTTGTTGATTGAAGAGAGGATTTATAATAGAATTGCACATCGTCAATTTTCAATATCGTAGTTACGCTGATGCATTCATACATTCGCGTCCTCTCACCTTGGACTTCTGGGTCAAAACCTCAGCTGGATTATGGTTGAAGCTGGTATATTTACCACGTGCACAGTCAAATAGAACCATAATTTCCAGCCCAAACGTGACGGTTTAAACGTTTGCGGAAGAGAATCGATCAGTATGCTCGATATGATCGTCAGTCGTAGACCGTCGACCCGTGTGTGCCAAATCGCGATGCTCTCCAGATGTTCTGGACGATCTCTAGCCGAGAAATCGGACCTATTCGCTTCTTAACTGATTTCGACCTGTTCTTCTATCCTTAATTCCATCCTTAACTTAAGTGCACGGAGTCTATTCTTCTCGATCCATGCCTGATTAATACTTGTTGAGTATACGTAGCCTACTGACTTCTCATTAACGTCTTAGGAAACAGCGTCGTGCTACATCGTTTCACAGATGAAGATATAACATCGTATCGAAAGAATATACGCAGGAACAAGTAGGTTTATTTACGCGTTAAATTTTGTTGAAATACACACACACACACACACACACACACACACGCGCGCGCGCGCGCGCGCGCGTATATATAATATAATACGTAAATGTAATATTGTGTATACACATACATATAATAATATGTATATATAAATGTAAATGTAAAATAATATGTAATGTAAAATTTTGCTATTGGAATTCGCTGTCTAGTAAATTTACGAAGTATACATAAATATAGAGGGAAATTTTCTAACTACTGCGTGAAGTATCTCCGTGGGATAAGCGTGACAATTTCAATTCGCGCGTTATAGTCAGTCATCAGGCGAGAAACTACCTTGTGTCGAACACCTGCGAGCCGTAAACGAAACCATGTACGCGACGCGATGCATCACGAATTGTGCGTGTTGCACGTAGAGCGCAAGGTAGAGTGCGACCTGGTCGGAAGCAATTTGCATAACGTGCTCCCATGTGCGCGTAAAATCGTCGTAACGCGTTATTAGAGGCGCGTTTCTCGCGCGAGCGCGCCGCCTCTTTTCTTCCGTTTCTTCACTTTCCTACACGGCTTCCGGTTCGTGGGACAAACACGGTCACCCGCCGTCTTACTCTCGTTCTCTCTCACGAGAGCGGCGACGTAGCTGCACGTACGCGAAGAACTAGCACGTGGAGAACTCTTTCTCCCTTGCATTGAATCGACGTGGGAGAATCTCAATGCTGCCGCGGGTGCTGCGAATCGCGACAATTCCCGGCCTTTTTCTTCGGCATTTCCTTCGTTTTTCCTCGCCATCTTCCTAGTATCAAAAAGTATCCTGCTTTTCGAGAGAATAACTTATCGCGGATTTTGTGAAAATTCAACGGTGAGGGTGCGATTTCTTGCGTCCTGGAATATACGTCAAACGTTAAAATTGAATGTACGTGGAATTTTGTTGAATTATATTAATAATACAAAAATCTAGCTACAAAAAAATTGCAAGAAATAAAATTAAAATCGCACCCTTAAATTAAA